CAGCTGCCTCAAGACCCTGCTCTGCCGCAATGATGTCGAGCCCTCATTGTCTGCCTTCTCTTTGTCAGCACAGGCTTTCAGCAAGCACTACACAACTGCCACATGACCCTGCTCTGCCGCAACATGCAATGGTGTCGAGCCCTCATTGTCTGCCTTCTCTTTGTCAGCACCGGCAATTAGCAAGCACTGAACAACTGCCTCAAGACTCTGCTCTGCCGCAATGGTGTCAGGCTTTCAGCAAGCACTGCACAACTGCCGCATGACCCTGCTCTGTTGCAATATGCAATGGTGTCGAGCCCTCATTGTCTGCCTTCTCTTTGTCAGCACCGGCTTTCAGCAAGCAGTGCACAACTGCCGCATGACCCTGCTCTGCCGCAATATGCAATGGTGTCGAGCCCTCATTGTCTGCCTTCTCTTTGTCAGCGCCAGCAGCAAGCAAGCGCCGCACAACTGCCAGATGGCCCTGCACTGCAGCAATGTGCAACGGTGATCTGCCCACAGTGTTTGCAATCTCTTTGGTAGCGCTGGCATCAAGCAAGCACTGCACAGTAGTCAAATGGCCCCGCTGTGCAGCAACATGCAGCGGTGTGGCACCCACATTGTCTGCCTTGTCTTTGTCAGCATGGGCATTCAGCAAGCACTGCACAATGGCCTGATGACCCAGTGCAGCAGCAAAAATCATGGGTGTCTCGCCATCATTCATTTCTTTCTCTTTGTCAGCACCGGCATCAAGCAAGCACTGCAAAACTGCCAACTGGTTCTGCCCTGCAGCAATATGCATCGGTGTCGCGCCATCGTGCATAGCTTTCTCTTTGTCAGCACCAGCATCAAGCAAGCACTGCAAAACTGCCAGATGGCCCTGCGCTGCAGCAATGTGCAACGATGATCTGCCCACATTGTCTGCCTTCTCTTTGTCAGCACCGGCATCAAGCAAGCACTGCACAGTAGTCAAATGGCCGTTTGCAGAAGCAATACGCAGAGGCGTAAGATGGCTGTTTCTGTCAGCAGCATCGGGATCATGAGGCTTCTCCAACAGCTTTAGGACATGTTGCGCGTCACCTCTTCCTGCCGCTTGCAGCAAGTCAATGCAAGTTGCCACACCAGCTGCTTCACCTGTCGCTGCTTCGACATATTGCCGTTTAATGGCCGTCAGGACCTCAGCATTCTCCCACAGACTCTCTGGCCCCAACATGCCTATGCCGCTTGCCAGAGCGAGCTGCCTGAAATTTGGCAAACGCAATCCTTGCTTGGCCACTAGCCATACATACTAACTATCGGGAAAAAGGACAGCACCATGTGGCATGTGTTTGGTTGATCTTCAATGAACAACCATGCAACACAAAAAGGGGGGACCCGGGAACAGGGTACCAATGGCAGCGGAGAATCTCTTGGCGAGGTGGCGTCGCAACACGTCAAAAAAGCAGCTCCCATCTTTCTGTTCGCGCAGCTCGCCCAGCCACAGGGAATACTCAGCTGCTGTCATCACATCACTGCCATCTAGTAAGCGAACGCACGCCATGAGTGAATTGGACACGACTGCGCTCGAGCTGAACACACCTGGCCGCCTCATGCATTCTATGTCAGTCGGCATACCGGGACCCTCAAATTATTTTTTTAAAATGGGCTATTGCCCCAAAATTATGGGGCGAGTTCCCCTTTCACGGGTAGTTTGAGTAGGCGCAATTCAAGCTCCAAGCTTCCTATCGTACATCACCAACACCAACGAAGACTTGAATTTGAGCCTTTTCAACGTTTTCAACTTGTCAGCCCCCGAATCTGCCACAAGCGACGCTCCCTCCAAAAGAATCGGAACCAGCGAAATCCCAAAAGGATTGCAAAGACCAGTAAACCGGTAAACCGCTCCCCGTCCGCTTATTTTTTTTTGCTGGCGGGGTAAGCTCTCAAAGGAATCGGTCTGCCTGAAATGGTCAGGGTCTCCTTGTGGCTACCCTTTGAAAAACATATCAACCAAAGGGAGGTCCAAGACTTTTTCAGAAACACTCCGTAACAATGGGAGAACCCTTGGGAGGGCTTGACCTAGGCATATGGACCAAGTCCTGCAGCAGTTGGCAGGTGCTCTATGCTTCATGCCATGGATTTATAGGGCTTCATTTATCCCGCGTGGTGCAGGAGTTCGTTCACCCACAGGGCTGTGGATGTGCTAAAAGGCGCTGGGCCTTTTTGAGATCCCGATTCTGCGGGAGGTACAAATATCGGGTTGTGGGGATTGCAACCAGTTCTGTGAGAGCAATGGAGGGGCCAAATGACGGATGGTTCTTGATCTGAACCGGTCCGCGTTTCGGTACCGCAGGAAGTGTGTCCCTTTGTAAGGATAATGTTGACCCCAGAATAATCAATGCCATGGTTGATTAATCGGGGTTCGGAGGGAACACCCCCCATGAATGGGATGGGTTTATTCATCCGGGGGTCAACGGTATCCTGTGTGGTTGGTGGATCTACAGGGAAACCAACCAACAAAAAACACTTGCCATGTTGGGGGTCGGGTGCACTCAAATCACAAATAAAATGCCCAGCCAATACTTCCAATCAGCCACAGGACGTCCCTTACTGCAGAGCATGAGCGATTCGCCAAGTTGGCCAATGCCACCTGGCAGACAAAACCCACTCACAACAATAGTAACCCCACTTAGGGCATTAGCATTGCCTAGGTCAACGGCAACTTTCTGACTGGCGAATCAAACTTTCCCAAGTTCAAACTGGCCTTTCCCAACGAATCCTGGGGACCCGAGCCATTCCCTGGTTTGTTCAGCAAGTTGAGTTGAGTGTGGGTCAAACATAGGGTAACCCCAACATGGGTTGCCCTGGTAAATGGAAACAAGCGTCCAGCTTTGGGATACCTCCAAGAGGAACCCGGCATGACAAAAACCAGAATCCTTGTCCCCGATTGGTCGCTCAATTTGGCCCCATTGACACGAGGAAGCTTCAGGGGCAGGATACTTGGGAACTGGATTCTAACCCTGACTGCCCATTTAGGGGTGAAGTATCATTGCCACAAGAGGCTTGTGTAGCTTCACCAAGACCACACACCACCTTCAAAACCGCCAAAATTACACATCAAATCGGAAAACCCAGTGTTGGGCTCCCAAAATGCCATTCCCTGGACCCTCAAACTGCCCAAAAATTGGATATCAACCAGATTGTTGGGGGCTAAAGCCACTTCTAGGTCCTCCAGTAGGTTAGAATAAGGGTACCAACTTTTTGCTGTCGTCTATTTTAGTAGGGGGCCCCTCCCCCAAAAAAGAAACGGTAAAAGGGCACCAATCGCTGGGGGCCCTAGCGGATGGTTGCGAAATCCGAGACACCAGGAAATGAGTTGCCATGGGAACGAAACCCCGAAGGGTGAGAAAGGGCACCTCGCAGGCCCTAGACTTTTTATGGCCAGAAAACTGCCGCCAATCCGCCTCGAGCAACGCCGCGGCCACCTGCAGCTCCGCCGTGGCGTTGAAGGCGCAAACCTTCGCCTGAGGCTGAGGTCTTCGCTGCTTGCGGTTCTTGGGTGGGCTGAGCCTAGGGTGCCTTGGACTAGGTGTTCATCACATTTTGAGTTTTGTTGACAGCGCTTAGATGAACCCTTTTTTCCCCTATAGAAGTACTCAAACGAATGAGAACCTGCCGCATGCTTTGATGCTTTGAACAAGATGCCAATCCCGCCCAATGCGGTGGACTAAACCTTACTCCGAAAGTCCTCGTATGGGAAATCTGCACGAGGAGCTCTCATGGCTTGGCACAGTGAGGGGGGTCAAGCTATACTCCACGCGAGACACCCGTCTTCGCTTGCCCAGATCTAGCTAATTCATGTATCTGAGGTCGCTATGACCCTTGAAACATGGAATCATTGCCTAAAATAAATCGGTCATGGCCCAGGTCATGGCCCGACTCCAGGTAGAGCGAGTGCTGCATGGTCTTGCAGGCGAACCACAACATGACTACTCAATCACCACCTGGCCAAGAGTAACCCTCTGCTCTTCAAGACGGGCCCCTGTCAGCCCTCGCCCGGGTATTCCAGTGCTAATTAGCAGGCTTTTGAGAGCTTACCTGATGCATTCTGGGCTCAGATAGCTCAAGTAGGACAACCTGAGCCACAATCAACACCTGGCAGGGGAGTCTAGCCGATGTACGAAATCAAAAGGGCACCCCGCACCTTATGGCAAGGGAGCGGTCCCTCTTCCCACATCGTCAAGGGTTGATTTCCACACATTAAAAGCGCCACCCGTGTTTGTGTTGGGTTCATCTCAACTGATTTCCCCGGAAAATATCAAAACTGCCACCGGTTCTGACTCCAGGACATTTCCCTCCCCAACCAAAACCGCCGAAACAAAGCCCGCGCTGCCCACCCCGATGGCCCCGTGGGCACGGCGCCAGCAGCCACTCCAACTCCTCGCGCCCGTCCGCGGCGAAGGCCCCCGAGGCGTCGTCGCTGCGCAGGAGCCACGGACCAAAGTCCAGCGCCTCGAACGAGCCGCGTCGAGCAGATCGCGCGCCGTGGCGTTGGTTTTCGAGGTGTGGGCCATGTGGACGGTGGAAAAAATATGTTTTTTTTAGGCACCACGGAATGAAACCAGAAGTTGAAACTGCATTGGCTGGTATAGCTACTGGGGAATCGAATCATGGAATTCGTCCATCCACAGGTTTGGGGCTTGTTTACTTCTTGTGAAACCAAAGGAAAATCAGAATACTTTTGGGGGCAAACCAACAACTTGCCTAGGGGGGCCCCTGCGTTTCTTCGACCCGACCGTCTGTAAGCCATCCCTCAGGTGGGGCTGGGTGGAGTCCCGACAGAGACGTGGCCGGGTCTTGAATGAGGACTCCTTGGGTGTACCTGCTTCAACATTGGGACCGCCAAAATTGAAATCCTTCTGGTTGGGGTTGTTTTAAGGTGAAACCAAAGCGAAGCCAACCACCAATGAGTTGGCCAAAATCAAGGGTGAAACATCACTCATCTCAAAATGGGGAGGGAGCCTGCTTGCGGATGTGAGATTTGGGTGTGCATGAATTGTTTGCAGGGAAATCAAATGGATGCCATACATTTTAGGGGCACCCGCATCTAGGGACGAGCCCATTTTCGGAATACAAGTGGGACCACAAAAAAGGAATATCTTTGCATAAGGCGGCAAAACAACTCACAAGGAGAGCACGAGGATGGGGTGGAACACGCTCTTGCCACATTTTACATAGATTGTCAAGCTGTGGCCTTCTGACAACCCGCGCATCCACCAAGCAGAATGCACACAAAGAGAGTCGGACAGCAGATACGTTGGGATCTGCTCTCTTGCTAGCCTTTCAGCTCACGTGCGACTGCCTTTCAAACAGCTTACCCATGTCACACCAACTGCCCTTGCTCTTTGAAAAAAAACACATTTGAGCCATGTTTGAGCCAACCCCTGCACTTCCAAGGTGGATGTGTGTTCAGTGCCATCTCCCTGCTGCACTTCGGTTCAAACCCTTCAAGATGTTTAGCAATTGAATCAAGGTTCAATGCCATTCCCCAATTTCCTTGGAAAGCATACTCTAGGTCCTCCAGTAGAGAGGTTAGAATAAGGGCAGCCTTTTTTTCTGTAGTCTATTTTAGTCGGAGAACCCTCCCCCAAAAAAGGGTAAAAGCGCACTACTGGGGGACCTAGTACTTCTCTTTTGGACACATACCGACTATGATAAAGGGTATGAATGATGTGGATGGAGGAAATCCTGCAACACCTAAGAAGCCGTGGAACGGTGACTCCTCCTGTAAATACCAACAAACAATGGTTTCTCACAGCTTCAAAGTGGTGCAGGATTTGTCCATCCACAGTATTACAATAGTTTGGGGTCAATAGACAACTCGTCGTTAACAATAGCCTTCGAGCTGGGTTGCCTGGTGTGAAAGTCAGATTTAACCAGAGGTCATGATCTAACATACACCATGTCCATGTCACTTCGTGCTTCCGTGTTCATTTGCAAGGGGATATGACCCAAAACACACACACAGGAACAACGGCTCAACATTGAAACACGTGCAAGTGGAAGACGCATGAGACATAATCAAGAACCCGTCATTAAAATGGTCTACCCAGAACCATGTAAAGAATTAAGAAGGCAGCTGTAGCTATTTATGGTTGGGGTCCCTTGCTAACCTTCATCTACCCAGGTGTTGATTGTGGCTCACATCACCGAGGTAGTCTGTCAAAGGCTTAATGAAGACGCGTGTCGGGTTTGGGTCAAAGTCCCAATCGAATTGCAACCCTGTCAAGTATGATCACGTAGCATTCAAGCTAAATGGACTGTATAAAGCCCGGATGCATCTTCTTACGAACTGCCTGGGGTCAGCATGATCCCATGGTGTGTGCAGAGTCGTTATAGGAACGCCTGATCCATTCCAGACTGCGGGCATCGAGCATCCAGTGCACTCTAGTCAGCCAAGTAGCGTTGAGAAACGACAAGCCTGCGCGAGACAATTCCAGCACTGGTCAAGCAAGGAAATTCGTCAAGCTGCAATACGGAGTCTCACAAGCAAGTAATTAGTGCCAAAGGTATGGCAAAACATTACAGCGCCAGAAGCACTGGCAATGTTTTGAGGGGCAGGTCTGGGCTGCATCGAACCGATCTGTATCCAAGTTGTCTCTTCCCCTCAAAAAAACACGCAAGTCGCGAGAACACATCCGAGCCTTTGTGTCCATTTCTCAGTGTGATCCAAAAAACACAAAAGGAGCCAGGTACGCGAAGGTCCAAGCACACCGTCTTTGCTCTTTCAGCAAAATGAAGTAAGGGACAACCTCAAGAAAGGGATGGCCAACTGAGGGCTCGCAACCTGTAAAGAGCCCACAACCCTACGTCTGTCACCCGGTAGCAGGTTCTTTTCCCCAAACCTGCATTGGAGTTCCATCTGAAAAAATGGATCCACCTCTGTTGGTGCTTGTGAACAGCAAGCACATCCTTTGAGCAACAAACAGACCCTTTCATTTGCATTGCCTTTTGAATGTACCCAAGAAAAAAACGAAGCACACTGCCCAAAACGAAACGGTGCGTCGACTCCAAGGCCTTGCAGGTAAAGATCCTTTCCGGCCAGCTCCGCCTTAGACGAGCGATGCGGCGTTTTTCAGGGGGCAGGTTGCTGGAGCCGGACGTCCAAAATCCGAGGAAATGTCCGTGGGTGAAAACCAATTGTAGCATTTTGGGGGGAGCTGCACCTCCATTTTAGTCTATGTTAGTGGGGATTGAATCGGGTGTTCACTGGGGGTACGATTTGGGTCTTGACCTGCGCGAAATGGCGCCAGGTGGCGAATGGTAGCTTGAAAGTCGGCAAGGTGATAGCGATCCCATGACTCCCGTTACCTCAGGAAACCAAAGGAACCCACACGAAGAGAATGGCTTCACTGCACTCGCTGAGATCCACTGGGCATGCTTGTAAGTCCTCTAAGTTGGATATAAAGAGAAGGATACTAAGCAGAGGCACGGAGCAACCATCGGCCATTAAACTCAAGAACTCATCTTTTATGTGTATATGTATATATATATATATATATGGCTGTGGCTCAACATGTACTACATGGCACCTTGGTAAATGGAACCAAAGGGTAAAACCTGCGTCATTGGTGTTGCAACAAAAGGGACAAAAGGAACCCGCACAGTGGCTTCCATTTGGCTTCCCCAGGAACTAGGGGTTTGAGAAACCTGCTCACTTGCCCTTGGACCTGGACACCGGTGATCACCTTCCAAAAGGTCAGATCCGGTCGATTCGCTTTGGGAAAGCCGATGGGGCTCCAACCCGCAGCGGCGGCCTTTCGGTTCCCACTTACGCGAAAAAGGGGCATGCCTCGATCCCGGGCAGCCACTGTTCAATTGGTAGCAAGAAAGAACCCCAAAATACACACAACAACCAATGACATGCCAACAGCAGTGCAACCCCCCCGAAGAAAAAATAAGCTTTTGTTATCCCCAACAGCATGCGGTGCTCTTTTTAGTGCTCGCCGCAGAACCTCGCAGAACCTCGTGGAACCCTGGTGGAATCCTGGTGGAACCCTCGTGGAACCTTACCTCAGGGCCGCCGCGGACCACCCCAAAGCCTATCTGGGCTGAGACCCCAAAGCTTCCAGCTGGGGAAAAAAAGATTCGCAGGCGGAAGGATGCCCGCCTTGAGGCTCAGCCGCGCAGTTGCAGAGAAGGACCGCACCGGTGCGCTGCGAAGTCTGTTCCCGGTATAGGCGACCTCACGTTTAGCTGCACAGAGCATTCACCAAAAAACAACCCCAAGAATCACAGCTTGTATTGACATGTGCTTTTGTTATGTTCTAAGTTGACTTGTGCTCTATTTGTGGTTCGTCTCTGATTGTGTGTTGTTGTGTTTGGCGTCTTGATTTGGTGCTGCAGTTGTGCTTTGTCGCTGATGCTGTGTGCGTTGCTGTGCTTTGACTTGCTGGTTTTGTGTTGTTTGTTGCCCTTGATTTAAAACATACATGCTGCTCAGTATCTGCATAAAACATTTGTGTCTGTATACTCAGTCCATGGCACAGTTCGTGGATTCAAACACGGGTCAAAGAGGGGCTGCCGCGGATGCTTTCGTTGGGGGTTCACGACGAAAGCATTGGCTTGCTTTCCCCCATCCAAGGCCAGGTGTCCTGTTGCAAAACATTTTCCTCCAAGAATGACATGGAACCTGTAGCCTAGCCTTTTGTTTGGATATCCCCTCAGCTTCAAAATAACAGCAATGCATCTCCAATCAAGCTCTGCACCTTGCGGTATCAGCTTGAACTTCCGTTTGGTTAAGCAATCCCAATGAGAAGACTGTGGCATGGTGGCATGGATGAAGCCCAGGGGCGTAGGGCGGGAATGCCCAGTCGACCGCCAGGCGCGCCGAGCGGTTCCTGGTGGCGTCAAAGAGCAGCTGACGCTGCGCCCAGCCTGTCCAGCGAAACGTTGCCCACCCAGGCGATTTTGGGTTTACAGATAATAATATATGGGTGTGGGTCAATATTCTGGTGTGGAACGTTCCGCGGTGACGCGGACGTCTGGAACGAGTCAGTTACGTAAGGCTGGTTCTTCCGGACCTCTGGGAAGACATGTGTGGAGTCCTCAAGCACACGTTTATTTAGTATAAGATGGATAGATGGATGGATGAATGAATGAATGGGTAGATGGATGGATGAAGCGATCAGGGGCGCGCGGCCGAACGATACGGCACCTCCTTGAAGGCTTCTTCGGCGGCCCCGCGTAAGAAGCGTAACTCCTGTGCATGTGGACTTGGTGGCAAATTGCTCCGCTGCGTCTGGAACACGTCTGGAACGGGTCTGGAACGGGGTCTGGAACGGTTACGCGAGTGGCTTGCACTTGCCGAGAGCGGTATCGAACCGTTACCGTATCGTATCGAACAGATTGCGGCCTTAACATTCACAGGCCGTTCCAAAAATTATCAACAGGACCGCCGCTTAATTCCATCCAAGTCCCAATGATTACAAGCCACGCAGCCCAAACCACCAAAGCTCGACAAGCAAAACCCATCGTTAGCACCTCAGGCTTCTCTCGAACACCAGCCTTAACGCGTAGCATTTGGCAAAACAAAGGGGGGAGTCAATAACCTACCAAATCACCTTACCGTAAATACTCTAAACTAGACATAAACATATAAACAAGGTCTGGAACGGAAGGTCTGGATCATGTTTCTAGGCAAGGTCTGGAACGGAGGTCTGGAACAAAGGTCTGGATCGCATGTGGGTTCCGGACCCTGTTCCGGACCTTATAAATTGACTCGCAGCCATATCTGGACACTCATAACTACCCATTAAAAAAGGGATACTCGATAATTGTTGGGGTACAACCCACTTTTCAGTTGGAATTTTGAGGGTTCAAATACACAGATTCTGGTTTACGTTTCGTCTACCCCCAGCGTTGGAGGTCGCAGCAAGGTTGCCAGCATACTTACGAGGATGTTTTTCTCAAAAGGGAACCTGGTGAGTGATTCAGAACCATCCTCTTCAGGACATAGCTGTCTGGCGGTTTTGGATAGCCTCTAGTCTAATTGTTTTGAACACCGAGGAGGATGCGACAAATATCATAAATGACAGATGTCAACGTGTGCTCTGCCAGGGTTGGTTGTTGCTTTAGAGACAACATCAGGAATGAACTGTGTCATGAGGTATCCAACCCGCTTGGAAAGCGGAGAACAACTGCCTGCCCTTCTGAAACGACTTCAAACGCGGAGCAAGGAACCAACCATGTCATGATTCGGCCTTTCGCTCGGAGCAACCTAGAAACAATCCCAACGAGGCTATGGTTGTGAACCACACTGCAGTGAGTTCCAGCAGACCAAGCCCCACCGGTTCAAAAGTTCTGGTGATACTGTGGATGGACGGAGTCCTGCACCACCTTGAAATTGTGGGAAACCATTGTTTGTTGGTATTTACGTGGGAATCATCATTCCAGAAATTCTGAGGTGGTGCCGAATTCCTTCTCAGATGTTCATCGCCTGTGTCCAGAAAAAAAAAAGAAGAAAAATAACCTCGGGACAAACTGGGCCACGTGGTTCCTTCTGCATTCTGAGGATCTGGAGGTTCAAAACGATGGCACTAGGAGCTCTGCGTGTCTCCTTTCAGTGCTCCTTTCAGAGTGGTCCAAGATGGCAAATTGCGTTTATATCCAACAAAGAGCCGGGAAAAACTCGCAGTTTCACAAATTGAGCGGCCCGCTAGTCTCTCAAGGACTGATATCGCTCCTGGTGGCTCCCCTCAGCCCCCAAAACCACATACACGGAATGCCCCAAAATGGGGGACGCCGCACGCCCCGTTTCGTCGCCCAAGCCGATGAAAGGGTATGGTTTCAACGAGTGAATTGGGGTACACGGGTAAACAACTGCGTGCAACAAATCAAGGAAGCCATTGTCCGCAATCAAGCGGGCAAGCAAAAAACAAACAAAATACGAAGCTGACAAGCAAGCCGTCGAGGCAAAACAAGTCAGGAAACAGCAGCGGCCCTGTTCAGAGCAGACCAAAATGAAACATTGTTCAGCTAATGGCAAGCTGTTGGTTTCCCAATCGCAAAGCCAAAGCATCGAGCGGCCTTCCGCGCACAGCTCTGTCAGAATCAGATGGCTTGGCAGGGCCTGAAGCATCGCCTGCACATGGGCTTGTCTGAGGACCCACGAACTGTGTGGCGGTCTTTGTCCTTTCAACCAGCTACAAGGGTACAAGCAATAGTCGACTCAGTCCCATGAGTCCCATGGCACAGGTGCATAGATTGGCACTGTCATAATGTGCCATCTGCTTGACTTGAAACCAGGTGTCCAAAGATGCGCACCATGTTTGCCTGTCTGACAACTTAGTCCGTTTGTTGAATAGCACGTCCCCTACAAAGAGGACACGTGGTAACCATTGGCACCCTTTGGCCTTCACTAGCAGGCTCTGAATGCTAATGTTTCAGACACGCGTTGCCCCCGGATTCTGCTCCTACAAATGAAACAAACTTGGCTTCTTTCCACGCCAACATACTTGAAACAGCTAACAGGGCCGCCTCTGCCGGCTCTCAAGTATCAAACAGCTGGAGTGGCCACCCTGAAAGCCCCAAGTCTCACACAGCATCCCGATTCATAAGTCTTAAGTCAGTGCCAGGCATGACCCCAGGAAGCAAAACAGCACGAGGTTTCATTGGGCAATGTGCGTTGGCGTGTTTGTTTTTCTGTCTTTCCGTCTGTCTGCGTACATCCAAATAGGCCTATAGAGCCTGTAGAGACACCAGACAGGGCGTACTACAAGCAAGAATGGGGGTTCTGGACTTTCAACCCAAAGCCGCAGTCACAAGATCGTCTTTGCCATCCATTCCATTTAGCCCTGACTTCCGACCGAGCGGATTGGCTAAGAGTCCAGATTTGTTGTTTGCCAGGTAGGTCCAAGTCCAGGAACTCCAGGAGTGGCCCTTCTCTTGGCACCCGGAAGTATTCCATCAGTATGCTCTGACTCTGTTTCATATTTGGTCTACCAATAATAATCGTGCGCACAGCCCGTTTTGGGGGACCTTCACAACGAAAAAACCCCGAAAATCGGTGGCTTTCCTTTCAGTTCTCTTGTGGGCGTGTCCTTTTTTGAGGGTGCCTGGACCCTCCAAGTTGTCCCAAGATGGGGTCCCCATGTTATGGGTACTTTGAGGGTCCACGTGCATTTCCAGGAACACCGAAATCCAATTTGGAGAGGTCCAGGTACAGGAGTCACTGGATTTCAATCTCCAGAAGTTGATCAAACAAATGGTTTCCGTTGAACCTACCACTGTTGGAGGTTCCCGTCAACTTGCTGGTGCTCAGGGAATGTGGGAATGAACCGTTTCGGGTTCCCCTTAAGTTTATAGGGCTCAGACTCCACTGTTCCCCTCAAAGGCAACCACCAGTTGGAAGGTTTAAGTCGGGGCCATTCCATGTCTCCTTCCCTGCTTAGCACCGTGCCAGCAAGTTCATCAAAGGGAGCCCGAAAACAACGCCCCAGGCGTCCGGCGGATCGTCGCCTCCCAGGCCGCAGACTTTGGCTCCAGCGCCCAGGTCCCGTCCGCGTTGGAGCGCAGAAGCCGGACCGCCGCGCCAGAAGCGGCTTCAGCGGACGCGGGGCCTGCTGTTTGAAAAGGTGGCTGCGGGGAAAACAAGTGGGTCATCAAAATCTCGGCATGAAAATGGCTTATCCAGAAGCATGTAAAGACTTACCAAGGCGGCCGCCCCATTTCTGGCTGGGAGTGTTACCCTCCAACGTAAGTTTGAACCCGTATTAAAACCCCCCTATTAGTCCGGTCCGGGTGACACCCCCCAATACTAAACAATTCATAACTCAAAAATTTCACCCGAAATAAGAAATGGTTCTAAAAACGCCCACCCAATTAAACTGGTCCCTTCCCGAGATGGCTGCTGCTATCTCATTTTCCACTGCTTCTTGAGCTCATTACAATGTAAACTGTTTTTGGTGCTAGCTGATGCTGCTGATGTTGAAGATTGTGGACTCATGCTGCTTGCCATGCTTTCTCTGAATGGTGTCCTGAAACGGTGCTTTGGCTCAAATGGGCTCACGCTTTCTTCTGATACCTTTCTCTTCATGCTGCTGCCTTGCGTAGGGCTCTCATCTCCACCTCCTGCTCTCATCTTGAAGCTTGGTGGATGCTTTTGGGCCTGCCCAAGCCACAAAACAAAAAGTGTTCTGAGATGGTTGATTTCTTCTTAAATCCTTTACTAATAAATCAAACTTAGAAGGATTAGTGCGGTCCATCGGCCCCGCCCCCCAAAACAAGACAACCAGGCCTTCTCAATACTAAATGAAAGGGAAACTCAATTCCAGATCTGAAAAGGAAGCTCCAGGCAATAGTAAATCAAATGGAAGCCCAATTCCAGATCACAAGGAAGCTCCAGCAATAGCAGATCTCAAAAGGAAGCCCCAGCAGTAGTAAATCAAATGGAAACTCAATTCCAGATCTCAAAAGGAAGCTGCAGCAATAGTAAATCAAATGGAAACTCAATTCCAGATCTCAAAAGGAAGCCCCAGCAATACTAAATCAAATGGAAACTCAATTCCAGATCTCAAAAGGAAGCCGCAATACTAAATCAAATGGAAACTCAATTCCAGATCTCAAAAGGAAGCTGCAGCAATACTAAATCAAATGGAAGCTCAATTCCAGATTATATAGGGTGGGAGGCAAGAGACCTTCAAAAATCTTGCCCTCCCAAAACCTTTGCCCTGGTGATGTTTGGGGGGTTAGGTGTTGAAGCTGCTTTTCGTCTGAAAACCCGCAATGGGGAGAGGAAAGGACCCATTCGAATTCAGGGGGCGCGCACTCGTGAGACAAATCCAAACGGCACTCCGTGCTCAATAGGAGTTCTTGTTGCTTTTCTGCGTGGGTCCCTGGATGGCGGATGGACGTGTTTTCTTTACGGAAACAATGAAGTCAAACAATAGCTAAATGCCTGGCACAAAAATGGTGAACCCAAAACCACGTAAGGAATCGAACGGTTGGGACTGCCCGTTACTAACATTCATGACTCAAATGAATATTGGATGCAATTGGAGCCTTGCATTTGCCTTTTAAACGTCACACCGACAGGAAAGTCACCTCAGAGTGCCCCACCTCAAAGTGACCTGGACCTTCCATTGATACCTTTTTGTTTGCTTGCCTTTTTGGTTCTGCTCGAACACGCAGTTTGTGCCCGATTCTTCAATTTCTGCCCGAGCAATGGAAAAGTGTCCGAGGCTTATATATATTTTGAAATGAGCACTTTTCAATGTTGCGCTCGTTCGCGGGTTTTGCGCTTGTTTTGCGGGCTGTTGCGGGCGTTATTCCGCACAATCTCTGCTCGAGTAGGTCATTTAGGACCTGACAGCCCGCATGCCTCCAAAAACGGCTCGCGGTCCAAAAAAGAGGACAAGCCAAGAAAGAGGTACGAATTTCAAAAACCAGCCGGTTGACAGGGGAGGCAGAAATTTCAGGTACGTTTGAAGGTCCAGGATGGCCATGAAATTTAGTGGGGAACTCCTCAAAAATTGCTAGTGGACTCTGACATGTTCGCCGCAGGGTCCAATATGGGCAGTTCAACACGTTGGGGTGACCAATCTGGAAACCACTGCACAAGCCGGATTGCGCCCGAACAGCCCAAATGAAAAAGACAGGGCGAACAACTCAAGAATGGCTGGTGGACACAACTCTACACATTCTGCCACCGAAAACTTGGATACCCCCAAACCCCCCAAACGCCCCAAACCCCCCGCAACTCACAACCCCCCCAGCTCGGCGGGAACTGCAGCCTGCCAGGATCACTCGCCAGGGCAAGTTCGAGGCATCGATGAAGGTGGCCTCCAGAATCTCAGAGCCCAGCTGTAGCCGCCTGAAGTTCCCAAAAGTCAAAAGCGCGCAGCGCGGATTTCTCTTTTGGCTGGAGAGCAGCTGGGCCCAGTCCAGGAATTTCCAAAATCAACCACGTCTTGCATACAAGTGGTTCAAAACACAAGCGACGCAACCACAAACACCCGTCGGTTGGAAAAGTTCAACCGTTCT